TCGTATATCATTCGCGCACTCGATCTAAGTACAACCAAACTCTTGATCCAGCCCCCACAAGGTGGGGATGTACCATATCACTATGTGTGTCGGCTTGATCCGCGAATCCTACGCGTAAACGCTGATTCATTTGTTCTCGAACTTGTCTCTAGTACTTTTGCATCTGATATCCACACCATCTCGGATCTCGATCGTGCCTGCGAGTACTCCCCACCAGGACCACCGCCTCCAGAGTAGATCTAAGGTCCCAACCATGTATCATGTAGACAGGGGTTTCACCTCGGATACGATCCTTTGCGGTGTTGATCGCGAAGGTGGGTGGTTCAGCGTATTCATCCTAATCACGTTGATCCAGATCCTCCAGATACATCTTAAGGGCCCTGGTGGCCATCTGGACTATACACTCTGCGGATCCATTAGCTTTGGGTCGATAGCAGCGCGTTGACGTTGACCCAAGATCGACACATTCTCCCATATAACGGTGTACGCTCTTATACAGCCCTCTCCAGTAGATGCGATCGCGGATCCGATCATAGGCCCGACCAATTTCTTGATGGCCACCCTGCAGGCTCGTGTGATAGTGGTGCAAAATGTCCTGTTGAAGCGTCTCAGGTATTAACAATCGCATCAACTTGTCTCGATCCGCAGCTGCCTCCTTAGTCGTCGGGCAGTAGAAGGGTAGATCAGATTGATCCACTTCGTAATTCATGGCAATTGATCCAAACAACGTAGCATCCTCTTGTGTCAGATCCCGGATCTCTCCAACCAAGTATTTCTTCAGACCCAAGATCCACGACTCTTCATCTTGTGCTTGCCAGATCCGCTCGATCCTCAGCTCTCTCACAACTTTCTCCCGTAGTAAATCTGGATCAGATCCAATACGCACTCCAGATCTAACCTTTTTATTGGGTCGTTACGGCAGATATCTGCGCGATCTCGTCTTCGATCTTCACTATCAGGATCTCATCCAATCCATTCAAGGTTACTAGATCCTGGATCTCCTTTTCAGACTCGACCTCAATCTCACATTGACGCTGCAGAACGGCGCTTGCTAAGCTGTCCGCACTCCCGTTCCAATCTCGTTTAACATGTAACAGCTCGTGATCTGGCCAAGTACGTAGTCGATCCAGAGCCTGCTGGCGCAGCAGTGTCAAACCCGGTGCCTTACAATCGATCTCACCTCGTACTTGTCGGATCACCAGGTTCGAGTCCCCACAGATCACTAGACGTCGTGGATCCAGATCTTCCATCAGATCCAAACACAACAACAGTCCATGATATTCGGCTTCGTTCATTGTTAGACCTTCAGCGTAGCCAGATCTCCCCTTTTGTACTCTCCATTCAGGCAATTTCCACAGGATCGCGATGTAGGCGCCTCCACCTCTCTTTACACGGGCAGATCCACCGAAACGGACGACGTACAAATTCTCGTCGCGTCTAATAGTGGGGATCGGAGCCTGGATCTTGCGCCGTGGCTCCTTCTTCAATCGAGATCAGCGTCTTATCCACCTGTGATCTAGGCGTAATGCACGACGCCAATGCTCCCTGGATCTCACCTTTCCTCTTTGACGCACTTGGTGATCTCGAGAGTCCATGGCGACCGTACAGCAGCCCACCGACCTAAACGTCCCTGTAATGCTTTGGATCTGAAGAGCCACGCCAAAGTAGAGTGTCGGGTCAATACACGGATCAGACGCCCAACCAGCGTATTATAGTTAAGATTCAGGAACCTCAGAAGGGCTAATACCTCTTTCTCCGCGATGCCATAATTTAGCTCATTCGACTTCAGAGTGCGGCTCGCAAACATCACGGGGTAGTAGATCTGGTCGTATTCCTGCATCAATGATCCCGAAATCGCCCTCTAGTATACACCACGACCATGACTATCCAATCTGAATTAAAAAGTTAGATCGGAGTATCGTGGCTTTAAGTATATTGAAGGACCGATGGGCATGGATCCAACGCGAATCCACCTCAGTGAGATCCGACGCCTCCAGATCCAACATCTTTTGGTGGTCGACCACATGACCTTCCTGCGATCCTTGATCCACATTCTCCACTTCTAGTACTTGTTGG